TAGGGGGCCCCATGAGATGCCCCTGGTACCCTTCATAGGATTTTTTGGGTGTGGTTTGAGTGTGAGCAAGGACACAGGGGCCCCATGATCCCCTATTTCCCGGGGGCCCCATGAGTTGTCAGTCCGCACCTGCTCATAATCAGCATTTAATACAGATCCTTGCATAAATAATGGCCACATTGTGTAAGGCAATCCCATGATAAAACTATTTTGCACTAAGAGCTCCTCCGCAACCCGTCTAGATGACTCCATTTTCACTCACACAGAGCTGTAGTGTTTTAGATGAAGTTCTTTGTGAGTGAAACGCATCAGTAGGACGAGCCAATGTGGTTGGTTCATAAACATCTAATTCAACAAGGGGGATTGTTTTTGCAGCATGGCCTCCATTTTTGCTATTGCTATTTTGTGGTTGGAACAAAACCAAAAGGGAGAGTTGGCACCACCTGAGAGAGGAATCTGCACAGACTGTGGAGTGAGAGTGGAACTCCTTTTGTGCCATCATTTTCATTTTAGATTGCCGAATATAACATGGAAAGGTCCTACTTGTCAACTGGTAGATTAATAACTCTCCCCATAAGAACCCTCTCCACAAAACATCATGCTCAAAGTGAGCTTGTTATGGCTAATCAATGAGGCAGTGGCAGAAAATCCAAGGCCATTTCTGAGAACAACATGTCCAGCCTTTGAATGCATTGTAAGGTAGGTAACATGCTCCCAAAGATGCTTCGTAACAACAGAAAACTGGTGATTCAAAAACTGTAAAAACAATCATGCTAGATAAAAGTTGGGACAATACATGTAACCAGAAATATAATAGGCAACATACCATCATAAAGAGATAACGCCATAGCAAGATCCTTAAAAAAATACAAATGGCAGGACCCTGGGACTGGAATCTACCATTTTATATTTGACGGGAGAGGAAAAAACTTTGGCCCTTGGCACCTGGACAAGCCCCATTTCCCAAATGGGAAGTGAGGCAAGTTTGCTGTAAAATTTTAAAGCAATAAAAATTATAATGATAACTGAAACCTAAAATAAATTGTCTATGCAGTTTTTGCTATGGGAATTCTCCAATGATGGCTACAACACTATTATGAGCTGAGAAAAAAAACAAACAAAAATAATGAGTTTGGATACAGAAAATTGTGAAAGTTACAGTAGAAAGACTATGGGGTGTCCAAGGAAGAAAACAAAATGTCGTACTTGTTAAAAAATATTATGACAGTAAATCTGAAAATGTTCATCTCATAGAGTGCTATTGGGAAAATTTCAGAATACATTTACATCTCTTAAGAAAATATTTTTTTTTAAATATTCTAAACCAAGCTTTCTTATCAAGGGTTCTGTTGAACCAAAAATTCCTCCAGAGGTTGCCAGGAGTTCATATGGCAGTGGTGAATTGATCTCCTCTCTACAATGATCACCAATTTACAGGGGTTATTTATCTTTGTAATTCAACATAATGTGTCATTTTTAATCTAAAATATATAGGGGATCGTAAAGAAGAATTTCCACTGACCACGTATGGAGAGGCACTAAAGGAAACACTAAAGTTATTCTGTCTGTGTCTCTTTTTTTGCCCATTGTCATTTGTTTCATTTTATGGTTAATATAGCCAGTTAAAGCAAGGGAGTCTTGTAAAATAAACCTCTCTGGGTGTTATATATTCTGGGTATGACATATTTTATTTTTCTTTTATTTGAAACCTTTTTCAAATATACATACTGTATATATATATATATATATATATTATATATATTATATATATTAGGGAAAGACCTGGCAACCTACCCTGTAAAATAATTGCTAAGAGAATTCATGGAAAAAGTCTCGCTTATGAGTGACAGTCCATGAAATCGCCAAGGGTCGGATACGACTGAATGGATAGATAGATAGATAGATAGATAGATAGATAGATAGATAGATAGATAGATAGATAGATAGATAGATAGATAGATAGATAGATAATAGATAGATAGATAGATAGATAGATAGATAGATAGATAGATAATAGATAGATAGATAGATAGATAGATAGATAATAGATAGATAGATAGATAGATAGATAGATAGATAGATAGATAGATAGATAGATAGATAGATAGATAGATAGATAGATAGATAGATAGATAGATAGATAGATAGATAGATAGATAGAAACCTCCACATTATTTCCATCCATTCCTCCAGGGAAAAGGTCTGTTTTAAATAAATGTGTCATAGAAATGTAAGGATCAGAGCAACCAGAATTAGGGATGAGCACATCTGTCTAGGTCAGCAATGGGCAAACTACGGCCCGCGGGCCGTATACGGCCCGGCGGACCTTTTAATCCGGCCCGCGGAGCTAGGCTCCCGCTAGGCTCCTCTCACAGTCCGCCCTGAAGACCGGTGTAGCATGAAAATCTGTCTCCTATGAGGATCTGTCCCCCTTCGACGTATCTGCGCATGTGCCGGAGATCGCCGATCGGCTGCTAATGCCTGAAACTGGCACATGCGCAGATACGTCGAGGGGGACAGATCCTCATAGGAGACAGATTTTCATGCTACACCGGAACGGCGCGGGAACACGGCGAGAGGAACGCGCGGAGCAAAGGTAAGTGAAGTGACACAGGGGGGACTTGGGGACTTAATATGGGGAATGAATTACTATAGGGGGATGAATTACTATATGGGGATGAATTACTATATGGGGGATGAATTACTATGGGGGATGAATTACTATATGGGGGATGAATTACTATGGGGGATGAATTACTATATGGGGGATGAATTACTATATGGGGGATGAATTACTATGGGGGATGAATTACTATAGGGGGGATAAATTACTATATGGGGGATGAATTACTATATGGGGGATGAATTACTATATGGGGGATGAATTACTATGGGGGATGAATTACTATGGGGGATGAATTACTATAGGGGGGATGAATTACTATGGGGGATTAATTACTATGGGGGATGAATTACTATATGGGGGATGAATTACTATGGGGGATGAATTACTATGGGGGATGAATTACTATATGGGGGATGAATTACTATGGGGGATTAATTACTATGGGGGATGAATTATTATATGGGGGATGAATTACTATATGGGGGATTAATTACTATGCTTGCTATGGGGGAATATTACTATACTTACTATGGATGACACATACACATCATCATCTACTCTTGGTCCGGCCCCCGGGTCCAATATATGAATCCATTGCGGCCCTCAAGTCAAAAAGTTTGCCCACCCCTGGCCTAGGTTCAATTCACAGGGAGTTTGTCAAATCCTTGCAAACCAAACTTAGCTGCAAACCCCATAAAAGTCTGTAGGGGGCGATATGTGATACAAAATTCTAGCCAAGTTTAAGGCTGACAGGGAAACTATCGTGAAAAGAACATGGGAAGTAAGGCAATGACATGAGTGACATTTAACAAAGCGAAGAATTTAAAAAAAATACTATACAGCACGGAGAGGATCCTTTATAGCGGCCCTTTCCTCCCAAGCATAAAGTTTTGGTGGAACATGCAATTCTACATACTGCTTCTGAATCATCTTTAAATCCTATCCAAAATTAAAAATGTTATTTTGATCTTACCCAATTCCTCCTAATTCCTGGTCTTCAAAGGCATTGGTGATGTAGCTATGGCCTCACATATGCACCCTGGGAAGGTCACATCACCAGTCCCTTCAAGGGAGATCTGGTTCCTAAACTGCATCAAGAGCTCACAGGCTCTTGGGGAAAAACAGATTTTGTTTCCAAAAAGATAAAAGTAATTCTGAATGGGTTACTGCCTTGGAGATCAATTCCAATCAGCTCTTTCACTGGATAAATACATTAAAGTACTTGAAGCTTCTCACATTTTTTATCATGCTACCCAGCAGTTGATTTGGAAACCCACTAACTTTATACGTTTCATAGGCAATGGCTGTATAACATGCTCCATTGACAACAAATGGACTGTGGGAATGGAACAGTAGGCATATTACATATACCAACAATACAAACATATTCATATATTACAAGAGCCCTGAAATGACTGGGTGACAGAGGAGCCCTCTTGTGTTTATGACAACTGCAAAAAACTAAAGAACTATAGAAAATACTGCTCAGACTTTTAAAATAGTTAAGATAAGTTATATATACATTATATTGCCCAAAGTATTGGTCGGCCGGCCTTTCCACACACATGAACTTTAATGGCCTCCCAGTCTCAGTCCTTAGGGTTCAATATTGAGTTGGCCCCGCCCTTTGCAGCTATAACAGCTTCAACTCTTCTGGGAAGGCCGTCCACAAGGTTTAGGAGGGTGTCTATGGGAAGGTTGGACCATTCTTCCAGAAGCACATTTGTCAGGTCAGGCACTGATGTCGGGGGAGGAGGCCTGGCTCACAGTCTCCGCTCTAATTCATCCCAAAGGTGTTCTATGGGGTTGAGGTCAGGACTCTGTGCAGGACAGTCAAGTTCCTCCACCCCAAACTGGCTCCTCCATGTCTTTATGGACCGTGCTTTGTGCATTGGTGCGCAGTCATATTGGATAAGGAAGGGGCCATCCCCAAACTCTTCCCACAAAGTTGGGAGCATGAAATTGTCCAAAATGTCTTGGTGTGCTGACACCTTAAGAGTTCCTTCAACTAGAACTAGGGGGCCAAGCCCAACCTCTGAAAAACAACCGCACACCATAATCCCCCCTCCACCAAACTTTACACTCTGCACAATGCAGTCAGTCAAGTACCGTTCTCCTGGCAACCACCAAACCCAGACACATCCATTGGATGCCAGACAGGGAAGTGTGAATCGTCGCTCTAGAGAACATGTCTCCACTGTTCTAGAGTCCTGTGGTGGCATGCTTTACACCACGGCATCCGTTGCTATGCATTGCACTTGGTGATGGAAGACTTGGATGCAGCTGCTCGGCCATGGAAACCCATTCCATGAAGCTCTCTACGCACTGTTGTTGGGCTCATCTGAAGGCCACACCAAGTTTGGAGGTCTTTAGCTATTGACTCTGCAGACAGTTGGCAACTTCTGCGCACTGTGCGCTTCAGCATGCGCTGATCCCGCCCTGTCATGTGACGTGGCCTACCACTTGGAGTTGCTGTTGTTCCCAGTTGCTTCCACTTTGTTATAATCCCACTAACAGTTGAGCGTGGAATATTTAGTAGCCAGGAAATGTCACGGATGGACTTATTGCACAGGTGGCCACCTATCACGGGACCACGCTTGGAGTCACTGAGCTCCTGAGAGCGACCCATTCTTTCACCAATGTTTGTAGAAGCAGTCTGCATGCCTAGGGGCTTGAGTGTATACACCTGTGTCCATGGAGGGGATTGGAACACCTGAATCACATGATTTGGAAGGCTGGCCCAATACCTTTGGAAATATAGTGTATATTGAGGTATCTATCTTATGGCATGGCTGGATCTAGCAGGGTGCTGGGGAGGGCTGCGCCCCACTCAGATTTCTGTTGTGTCCCCCCCTGACTGACGGCTGATGGCTGAGTACCTTCCCCATTCCCACACTCAGGGCCAGCCCGGGACGTGAGTGCACAGCATGGTGCAGTGATCTGTGTTCAGGAGAGAGGCTGTGCTGTGCCCTCTCCCTCCTGTCAGTGCAGCGCTCCTCCACACAGCACATCACACAGGATCGCTGGCTCGGACTGCACACCGTTTTATTACCTGCACACATTTCCTTCTGGAGCAGGCAGGGTGCAGGTAAACTGTGTGTAGTCCAGACTAGCGATCCTGTGTGTGATGTGTGTGTGTGTGTAGGGATTTGCTGACTATTTTCACTGGGGAGGGATATTTGCTAGGAGGGGGGATTGGAGGGAAATATGTGCAAGGAAGAGGGATTGGTTTGGGGGGGTGGCAAGGAGGAGGATTAGGGGGGATATGTGCAAGGCGCAGGGATTGGGGGGGATATGTGCTAGGAGGGGGGATTGGGGGGGGTAATATGTGCAAGGATGAGGATTAGGGGGGGATAAGTGCTAGGAGGGGGATTGGGGGGGAGTGATATGTACAAGGAGGAGGATTAGGGGGATATGTGCAAGGAGGAGGGAATTGGGGGGGGAGTTATATGTACAAGGAGGAGGATTAGGGGGGATATGTGCAAGGAGGAGGGGATTGGTGGGGTGATATGTGCAAGGAGGAGGGATCGGGGTGGTGGTGATATGTGCAAGTAGAAGGATTAGGGGGGTATATGCAAGGATAAGGAGTAGGGCGATATATGCAAGGATGAGGATTAGGGGGATATATGCAAGGATGAGAATTAGGGGGGATATGTGCAAGGATGAGGATTAGGGGGATATATGCAAGGATGAGAATTAGGGGGGATATGTGCAAGGATGAGGATTAGGGGGATATATGCAAGGATGAGAATTAGGGGGGATATGTGCAAGGATGAGGATTAGGGGGATATGTGCAAGGATGAGGATTAGGGGGGGTATGTGCAAGGGTGAGGATTAGGGGGATATATGCAAGGATGAGAATTAGGGGGGATATGTGCAAGGATGAGGATTAGGGGGATATATGCAAGGATGAGAATTAGGGGGGATATGTGCAAGGATGAGGATTAGGGGGATATATGCAAGGATGAGAATTAGGGGGGATATGTGCAAGGATGAGGATTAGGGGGATATGTGCAAGGATGAGGATTAGGGGGGGTATGTGCAATGGTGAGGATTAGGGGGGGATATGTGCTAGGAAGGAGATTGGGGGTGATATGAGGCTGGACATTGTTGTGCACCAGGAGGAACCCAGGACCCACTGTACCAGCGTAGGGTCAGACAATGATTCTTCTTAATACCACTCATACCCGGGATCTCCATATAGAATGGGGAGATACCTAGAGATGATACATATTATACTGTTTCGTGGAATTGTGAGCTGTAATGTGTGGAAAACATTATAGATGTTGGATTGATATTGGACCTGAAATGAACTGGACCCATATTCATTCGAAGAGTGGTGTTTCAAGAGATCCTCTCTCGAAGCATCTCTAGCATACTGGTGTGCCCATCTAACCACCAGCTTGTGGTATCCATGTTCATGGAACCTTCATTCCATGAGCCTAGCTTCCTAATCGGTCAGCCAAACTAGCACAATTACACTTGGCCCTAATGAACTGGCCTCTAGAGATAGCCCTAACAACATAACGGGTGACAGCTTGATGTGTGCAAGAGGGAGTTTTTGAAAGTAGATTTCCTGTAGGAATGTACTGTAACTATGTGGTTTTGAAAGACCCCATCAAGATCATGTCCAAATAGTTTATTTCAGTTGGTTGTTCTTCTCCTGTGAACACCCATGTTCAAAGGTTTATTGTTCAGGTAATCCAAGACCTCGACGGCTGGCAGGTCACAAACAAAAATGAGGATGAGGCCATCGATATAGAATAAAAAGCTGCAATAGAGTTTCTATGTGGGTTATGGGCAGTGTTGATGAATGCTCCTCCCACCACTCCCTGTAAAGATTTGCGTATGTGGGAGCAAATCTTGCTCTTGTTGAACCCCTGCACATACCGCTCCTTGTCAAAGAGAAATTAATTGTGTCATAAAAGGGAAGATACACTTTCCAAGATAAGTAAAGGGGGAGGAGACAAGCGCCAGCTAAGTGTAGCATTAAAACCACTTTAATTATCATAAAAGTAGTGCACTCACAAGAAGAAGTGAATTAAAAACATGTAGTGATATATGGATGTACTTTCACCAGTCCCTATCATGGCCCCAGTCCTCCAGAATGATGGTAAGGTGCAGTCCAGTAGGTCAGGAGCACCGGAGACTCCCTGGGCTTCCCGTGTCACGGTCCCAATCCTCCAGAATGATGGTAAGGTGCAGTCCAGTAGGTCAGCAGCACCGGAGACTCCCTGGGCTTCCCGTGTACCGTGGAACGCAGAGTTGAGCTGAAGTGACGCCATGACCACAAGGGCTAAAGGAACTCGGCAACATGTTTATGCAGCATGCACTCCCTTTTAGGGCCAATATCCCCCATATTGCATTCTCTGTTTGCGCCAAATAATTTACTAGTTTACGCTTTCCAAGATGAACCACTTTAATTCTGGATCCTCAGAACCCAACAGAAACTCTGTATACATATCCATGTGATATTTGAGTGCTTGTAATCCCAAGTATGAGGTAAGAATGCATACGAAGACCTGACGTCACATGGGAGCCACTTATGATGATCACCCCAATGGAACTCTTCTAATCTTTGTTTGGTCTGTTTTGTATGATGTAAATGAGAAAGTAACCTCATTATTATTATTATTATACAGGATTGTACAGTTTTTTCAGCGCTTTTTAATATAAAGGGAGACAGTACAGTTAAAATACAATAAAAATACATGAGGGTTAAGAGGGCCCTCCTCATAGGAGCTTACAATATAATAGGATGGGGCAAGTGATACAAAAGGTTATAACTGTGGGGGATGGGCTGATGGAGGTGATAAACGTTCAGTTAATTGGAGGTGTGATAGGCTTTCCTGAAGAGAACAGTTTTCAGGGATCGCCTAAATGCAGCCAGAGTAGGAGCTAGCTGGAAAGATTGAGGTAGAGAGTTCCAGAGGAAAGGCGAGAGGCCCTGGAAAAGTCTTGGAGATGAGCATGGAAGGAGGAGACAAGGAAACTTGAGAGCAGGAGATTTTGGGAGGAGTGGAGAGTACGGTTTGGGTAATATTTGGTGACAAGATTGGTGATGTAGATTGCAGCAGAGTTGTGAATGGATTTGTTAGTAGTTGTTAGTATTTTGAATTTATTTGCTGGGCAGTTGGAAGCCAGTGGAGGGATTGGCAGAGAGGGCTCAAAGACACTAAGTGGTTGGTAAGGTAGATGAGTCTGGAAGCAGCATTCATGATGGACTGAAGAGGGGACAGCCTAAGGAGAGGTAGGCCTGTGAAAAGGGAGCTGCAATAGTGAAGACTTCATAACCAGGGGTCGTAGCAGGGTATCAATCACACCTAGTGACTCACCCAGGGAGCCAAAGCTGCCTACTAAAGGCCTACCCTGGACAGCGACATCAGGCTTGTGTATGTCAGGATGTTTGAATGATTAATTGAGTCATCTATATCAATCATATAATCGATCGATGTATAACAGTGTCTCCAATATAAAATAAAAATATTAAAAATAATTAAGCTGATAACTTAATTATTCCTGAGATACATTGCCCTATATAGATATTCTTTAAGCACAATAAAACTGGGTGGAAATACAGACTGCAAAACTAAAAAAAGAAAAAAATTAAGATTTATTTTACAATAAGTCACGTACAAACACAGTTAATAGTCGTATCGATATTGTGACACAGACTCCAAGATTATATTCCTAACAAATTGCTAAATGTATCTGCTACAACATACGTATACTAATTATATCAAGTAATAAATTCCTTCCCATAGATACCCTAAGTGTATTAAATTTGGCAGACCCATTGCAGCTGAATTAAAATGTGGAGACCATCTGGAAATTATGCCAACATGGCCAAAATATAATTACTTGTCCCAAGGTGTTACTGTATCGTGAAGGGAATAGCAAGTTAACAAGCAAAGGCTTTTGCCAACAGAATATCAATTAAACAAACAACAATCATCTAAAAATAATACGGTATTAGTTCCCCAAATGAGGTAGATTGGTGGGGATGGATTGCCTCAAGATGGCTGACAACCAACCCTCAAAATGGCGTCCAGTGGGTGGAGATGGACCGAGCTTAAGATGATGTCTTAATTTCAAAATGGCATCTATTAAAGATGGAGAAAGTGTGTCCTGTGATGTGTAATGATGGGTGATGAGTTATCTCCGGTGAGATGTATCTGATAATGTGAGCGTCCAGATTGTGTCCTGAACTTGCTTATTTATCTATCAAAAACAATACCATTTAGAAACCCGCCCAGAGGGTGTTGTTTGTACTATTTTCCCAGCCCTGATTGGAGCATGAACTATCCATTAACTATTTGTTTGTACAAGCAATACCACAGCTTGTCCACCAGGTGGTGCTCTGGGACTAGAAATCCTTACATTGGGGTTTCTGGGAGAGACTTATGCAGGCCATAGATGGGGAGAAAAACGGCCGATATTTTCTTTAAAAAAATGAAAAATCGGTCGTTCAATCGGCCGACGTTACCAGGAACGGTTAAAAAAAAATCAGCCGATTTTCATCCCGTCTACAGCCGGCAAAAAGTGTCCCCTGCAGAGAGCTCCGCTATTTCTTTGACAGTTCTTTGATATTTATAGCGGCTGCAACAATGTATCTATTTGTTTATGAATAAAAACATCTGTATTCGCAATGGATACAAATAGATACATTGTTGCAGCCGCTATAAATATCAAAGAACTGTCAAAGAAATAGCG